CAGCAGCTCTGCAACCTGGAGCGCGTCGTGCTCCACAAGCTGCGCTTCAGCCTGGGCGCGCCCACCGTCAGCTTCTTCCTGGAGCACTTCACGCTCGCGCGCGTGGACGCGGGGCACCCGGCCTCGCAGGCGCTGGAGGCGCAGGCGCTGGCGCGCGCCGTGGCCGAGCTGAGCCTGGCCGACTACGCCTTCAGCAGCTACGCCCCTTCCCTGCTGGCCATCTGCTGCCTGGCGCTGGCCGACCGCCTGCTCCGGCTCCCGCGCCCCGTGGACCTGAGCCTGGGCGAGCACCCCGAGCCCGAGCTGCGGCACTGCCTGGGCCAGCTGCAGCTCCTGGTGGCCATCAACGCGGCCTCCCTGGCTCACAGGCTGCCCCTCCCGCTCTGCGACAAGTGCAGCCTGTCCCCGAGCTTGAAATAAAGCGGACCCTCGGTCTCCTTTTAGCCCCTGGCGGGGCTGGACCTCTTCCGTGGCTTGGGGAGGGCGCAGTATTGGCCCAGGGAGAGGTGGGGGCTTCCGCTTGGTCACCAGGCCCTCCTGGTTGTAAACTGTAGGACAGTAGATAGTAGCGTCTGCTTGGTTATTTATTTTACTGAGAGCGTCTTTGCCCAATAAACAGGTTGTCTCTGTCTGTCCCCCTGTCTCAATGCTCCTCTTGCACCTGTTTGCTGCCAGGAGGGATGGTGAAGGCCAAGGGCAATAAAAGCACCGGCAACAATCGGGGGTCCTCCCCCCTCCAGCTCCACTCTGTAGTTGGTCTCTCTCTAAAAACATCAGGTCAGCCCAGGTGGCCAGCTGGTTGGAGCCTCGGCCCCTACACAAAAGGTCCAGTTCCCCGGTCAGGGCACATACCCAGGTTGCCCTGTGAGACAACCGATCCCTGTTTCTCACATCGATGTTTCTCTCTCCCTCTAAATCAATTTAGAAAAACCCCACCAGGTCCCCCAGATCCAGGTGGCCTGGTTCCAGTTACAAGGCCAGTCAGGGTCATTTGTTGGTATCCTGTGACCCCCTCCTGCCAGGAGAATGAGGACAGCTCACCCCCAGAGGTCCAAAGGGTGTGGTGGGGGGTGAGGCCCAACAACCCACAGCAGTCCATGCTGTGTAGCGGGGCCAGGGTGCAATGGTGGTGCCAAGCAGCAGTGCCCGATGCTGGCCGGGAAGCTCGGGACTGCGCAGGCCCACAAGCATAGCGGAGGGAGGGCTGCCCCAGCTCCAGGTGCTGGAAATCGAGGCTTTGCAGGTGGTAACGACCACCACAAATGCAGCCCTTTTACCCTCAATCACAGCCCCACTACTCTTACACCTGCTACCTGGGGCCCAGGGTAACCATGACAGTGGCACTGAGCGCTCAGGGTGCCAGGCACCTGCTCACCACTCCTTACTTCAGCCCAACAGGTCCACGAGGCAGTGTCATCTCATTTGTCAGGGAAGGACACTGGGCCGCAGAGAGGTTAACAGTGCAGCAGCCAGGAGTAGGAGGCAGGTGATCTGTGCCCGGTCCCACCCTTAGCCCCACTGCTCAGCTCCCCCCAAGTACAAGTTCCTGCAGGTGCTCAGAAAACCCTCTTTCCGAGGTGGGCGTGTCTGCACCAGCCCCAAACGGGCTGTTGTGAAGCCTAAATGAGATGCTGCGAGGGAGGATAAAGCACCCGTTAAGCAGGTGGACTCGGGTCAGCCTGTCTCATCACTGTGTTCAGGTCTCTTCTGTAAAAGCGGGAGTAACAGCACGTGCCTGGTAGGGCTGAAGTGTGGGTTTTATAATCTGTTCCATACAAATCCCCCAGCACAGGTCCCAGCACAAAGCAAGTCTTCAAGGAGACCAGGGCAGCCTGCCCAGCAAAAGG